CGCGATTTTACGAGTTCGACGAGATACCACGCGCGAAACCATTCATAGAGCAGTGGTACGCGCGACTCAACGACCTCGAGCTCGACGCTGGCGCGAAGCAGCGCATCGTCGATGAGGCAAACCTTGTATTCGCCTTCAACATCAAGCTCTTTGACGAGCTCCAGGGCGGGAAGCGGGCGGTCTTGCGCACCATGTGGGGACTTGCAAAGGGGGCCGTCGTTTCTCGGGTGGGCAAGATATTTCGCAGGTCGTGAGTTGACTGTCTCCGTACTTTCGCGCCCTGTCATAGCTCATAAGCCATAGGTTGGCATAGCCACTCTACACGGCGCGGGATGTGGATGTCACAAGAATTGAAGAATAGACACCGCTAGGACGGAGGTCAATAAAAAGCGCCCTTCTGTGGCGCGCGGGGCCTCCCACGGCCACGCGTCACCGTCCGGTCACCGCAGAGGGCCGCGGGTTTCAGCTTTCACGGGGACTCGGACACGGTTGGGGTCTGCCGATCTGCCACCGCCGAAGGCGTCCTGGCGGAGGTGGTGGAGTTTGAGACCTGAGGCTGCGGAGGTGACGCCTGAGGTACCGGCCCGTGCACAGCGACTCAGTCGGCGACCGCCACGGGCTCAGACGAGACTTGTCGACTCGTTCCGGCTCAGCTTCACCGTGGTCATCGGGCGTCTGTCGACGTCAGGACCACCCATACAGCTCGCGGGTTTGAGGTCGCAAGAGCCAAGATGGTGGCATTTGGACATCCCAGCCATCACACAAGACAGCCTGTAGGTGATGGCGGGACGGCGCAGTGTTTGTGGCACTCGGCAGTAGGCACCCGCGGCACGGCCCCGTTTTCGGGGCTCTCGGTCTCGCGGGCTGCGGAACCGGCCCCAGAAGGGGACGGTCCGGGCGAGTGTGGCAGCTCCTGCGCTAGTATGAGCAGCCTCTATCACAACACTACTGATCCTGGTCATTAGAGCTGCCAGGGATAGCGTCAGGAGCCGGTAGGAGTCAAAACCCCTCATATTTGAGACATCGCGAGGCCCATATACGCTCGTGCAACGCGAGCCTGGAGACCGCTGCGGTGTTTCTCCCACACAGCCCACAGACTCCCTCCCGCCTCCGCGTTCTTGATTACATTTTACAGTCACACAGGGATCAGAGTAGTGTCGCCAGTGTGAGCATCATGTCACCCTTCAAGGGTGACAGCAAGCAGTGTTTTTACGCGACAATCGAGCCACACAAATTTCTTTCTCTCTTGTTAATATCACGCCTCGCTCGCGTCGACACTGGCGGCATACGTTGCGTCCCACGGGAAAGATTGACTTTTTTATCGACGCAAGCTGCCCCCCCCCCCCCCCCCAGCAAGCTCGTCCCTTTCCCTCGACCTTTCCTCGACCTTTCCCGAGACCTTATATCGAGTGGATTTATCGAAATCTCCCGCAAGGTCATGTGCCCTTTGCCGCTTTCCCCAGACAGTTTTTGGGTCTAAGTCAGATGTTTAGGTTTCATCGAACGCATCGTGGACGTGCGAAATTTGGTTTCCAGTCGATCCCAGTCGCCGCCCGTCGGGCCAGACCCCGAGACCCGGCTGATGCTGGCGCTCGCACTTGGTGCGGCCGCGGCTGCGCCGGCCATCAGTGGCGCTACCCACCGGCGCAGACTCGGCGAAGACGACGATGGTCTGACGGAAATCGACTTGAGCAAAATCGAGGGCTCCAAAGAGCACGTACGGCGCATACTGACCCATTACGATGAGCTGCTGGCCAGCGGGGAGTGCATTTACGGCGAGTTCACGAACGAAGTAACTGGGCCCCTTCAGATAAGAGGTTGGCGAGGCGCAACTATGGGCTCGGGTACAGGTCTCACGAATGGCAACACCGCCCCTGGTGGGGGTTACCCGGGAAACCCCAACACCGGCGCACCTCACACGACTGGCGGCGGAATCGATGATGGGTGCGTTTGGATGGGGGGGAAGGCGGGGACGGAACCCTATGACCCAAACGTGCCGGTCTATGGGAATTTCCGATCAAATCCCCACCCGAGAACCAGGGACATGTATGGAAGCGTACGAGGGAACAAGGTCGGAAACGGGCCGCCTCGGGACAGGGATGACCCCAACCTGTACGTGAGACCCAACGGAAGAGAGCACTATTCAAGTCGGCAAATTGGTCAAGCTTGCGCGCGAAGGGTGATTTACTGCCAAGACGCCGAGCAGCTCACTCCGGGCCAAGCCCGGATGCCCGGAGGGGGATGGAGACCGTTCCCTCTTGACGCTGAAGCGGGGCCTGGAAATCACGACCCAGATGAGAACGGCTTTCACAATGGCAAGGACTATTCGGCCGGCACCATCGGCAAGTTGCCCTGGGCCACGCAAGTGCAAACCCCTCAAATGACGGCTGCATTTCGGCCCTCCCCGCCGCCGCCCGCAGCAGCGCCACCGCCGCCCTCCCCGTCTCCCTCCCCGTCTCCCTCGCCGCCGCCCTCGCCGTCGCCCTCGCCGTCGCCCTCGCCGCCGCCCTCCCCGTCGCCCTCCCCATCGCCTTCCCCGTCGGCCTCGCCGCCCCCTGCGCCTGCACCTGCGGGAGAAACCGCACCGACCGACTCGGACGGCGACGGCATCCCTGACGCAACAGAGGGCACTGTCGACACGGACGGCGATGGCACGCCCGACGCAGAGGACCCCGACTCGGACGGCGACGGCATCCCCGACGCGACCGAGGGCACTGTCGACACGGACGGCGACGGCATCCCCGATTACCGCGACCCCGACTCGGACGGCGACGGCATCCCCGACGCGACCGAGGGCACCGTCGACACGGACGGCGACGGCATCCCAGACTACCGTGACCCCGACTCGGACGGCGACGGCATCCCCGACGCGACCGAGGGCACCGTCGACACGGATGGCGACGGCATCCCAGACTACCGCGACCCCGACTCGGACGGCGACGGCATCCCCGACGCGACCGAGGGCACCGTCGACACAGACGGCGACGGCATCCCAGACTACCGCGACCCCGACTCGGACGGCGACGGCATCCCCGACGCGACCGAGGGCACCGTCGACACAGACGGCGACGGCACCCCAGACTACCGCGACCCCGACTCGGACGGCGACGGCATCCCCGACGCGACCGAGGGCACCGTCGACACGGACGGCGACGGCACCCCAGACTACCGCGACCCCGCCTCGGAGTCTACGCCTGTCCCGGATGAAGAACCCGTCACTGAGGGGAAGAGCCACGGTGACCCCCATCTGCACTTTGCGCACGGCGGCGAGGCAGACTTTCGCGGTCAAAACGACAAGTGCTACGCCTTCTTCTCGGCGCCGGGGTTCGCGGTCAACGTCAAGGTGGAGGAGAGCAACTTCACGCTTCGTGGAGGTAAGGTGGCTGTGAACGGGAGCTACCTCACCGAGGCTCACGTGGTCGCGAGCGTCGACAAGGGGCGGCGGGAGGCCACGGCCTCCTTCTATGCCTCTGAGCTCGACGTCCATAATATGGGCTGGGAGGTTGTCCGAGGCAATTGCGCCGGCCGAACCTTCAAGTTTGGCAAGAACGGGTACAAGGGCTGCTTCGAGCTCGAGATGAGGATGGACATATCGTCCGCCATCTTCACCCTTCGCAACTGGACGGTGAACGTGCACGGCAATTTCGTATACGGGTGGGTCTCCGGTCCGAAGCACCGGATCGACGTCAGCGTGAGCGCACGGGGTGACGCTGCCGCCCGCTCCCTGCCCCACGGTCTCGTCGGCCAGTCCTTCTCGTCGGCGGCGCCGCGCCACGGCAAGAAGGATCTCTACCCCATCGCCGGTTCGTTCAAGACCTCGGCGCAGGCGGAAGGGGCCATCGAGGGCAGCGTTTCCAACTACGAGTTGGCTGGGCCTTACTCCACCGCCTTCACGTTTTCGCGCTACGACGGCAAGGAGGCGGAGGCGCCGCAGCCGGAGCTGGTCGTGCCGGTCGACGCCTCATCTGTGGAGGAGAAGGACAACTGAAGTCACAAAATTCTCTGCGATAGTGGCTGAGAGTGTCGATCTTCCCGCCGCCTGGGCGCGCGGTGCGGTGCGGGGAGGGTTCTTTCGGATACCCATACCGGTTACCGCACGAGACTGTGTGTGAACAGTGAACAGTCGCGGCGCAGTGTTTGTGGCACTCGGCAGTATGCACCCGCGGCACGGCCCCGTTTTCGGGGCTCTCGGTCTCGCGGGCTGCGGTGCGCACTGCGGAACAGGCCCCAGAAGGGGACGGTCCGGGCGAGTGTGGCAGCTCCTGCGCTAGTATGAGCAGCCTCTATCACAACACTACTGATCCTGGTCATTAGAGCTGCCAGGGATAGCGTCAGGAGCCGGTAGGAGTCAAAACCCCTAATATTTGAGACATCGCGAGGCCCATATACGCTCGTGCGCGCAACGGCCAACACGTGCGAGCCTGGAGTGTGGAGACCGCTGCGGTGTTTCTCCCACACAGCCCACAGACTCCCTCCCGCCTCCGCGTTCTTGATTACATTTTACATCAGAGTAGTGTCACCAGTGTGAGCACACACCACAAACTTGTGTACCACAAACTTATCGTGTGCCCCGGCTGATGACCTGATGTGTGATGATCACACACCCACGCAACGATCACACACCCACAACGGGGCGGCCTGACCCATGGCCTGACCGCACCGAGCTGTAGCATGATCGTGTCTCTTTGGTGAGCGGTGGAGAGTACTAGGTCTGCGAGCTGCTGCCGTGCCGCACGGGCGCGTCCGCGCAGTTCACCAGATCTCCAGCTTGGCGTCGGGCTTGCCGCACTCGCCCTTGTGCTTGTCGAAGAGGGCCTGGAGCGCGTCGAGGTAAGCGGCGTGCCATTTGCTCACCTGCAGAGACGGGCGGGACTAGGGTGTGGCGTGTGGTGGGCGGGCGGGAAAGGTGGCGGGAGGGGGGGATTCGAGGAGGCACGCCGCAAAGGAGCTGCAGAGGAGCGGTGGCCGGCGCTCCACCTCCTCTGGAGTCGGCTTCTCGAGCTTTGGGAGCTGCAGCGGCGGCCCGATGCACGACGCGATCGGCACGTTTCGCCTGATGGCGGGACGCGGCGAGCGCTGTTCCCAGCGGGCGCTGCGCGCAGCGGGCGATCGCAAAAGGGGCCGGGTGTGCGTGGCGGGCGTGGGTCGGCGGCGGCCGATGCAGCACAGTGGTGGTAGCAGAGATGGGAGGCGACGGTGCGGGCTGAGAGATGGGAGGCGGCGATCTGCCACCTCGGGAAGAGGGGCATCCACGGCGCGCCAAAGAACGCGACCGCGGGGATGCCGAACCGGTTGAGCCTAGGAGAGGAGCGAGGCGCGTCGGAGCCCGCGCACACGAGGCCTCGCCGGGGGGAGAGGGCTGGTCGAGGCGCGGCGCCAGAGGCGGGGCTTGAGCAGGTACGGGAACGTGGCGTACGTCTCCGACTCGCCAAAGGTGTAGATGGGCGTGAGGGCGTACCCGTGCTGCAGCGCGTACCTACGGGCCGAGTCTCCAAGCTCAGGGGCAGGGCCGACCAGCAGGACCCCTACTGTGGGGCGTTGTTGCGGCGACGGCCGCGGAAGCACACTCGGTCAAGCCCTTCCGGTCAGACATGCGGCCAGACATGGCGAGGGCTCCCGGGCAATCTCGGCTACTCGCACTTGATCAAGCCCTTCCGGTCAGACATGGCGGTGCGCTCGCGCCCCTGCACGTGGAGCGTCGCGTCCTCGAAGCCGCCCGGGATGATGCCCACGTTGCGCCCCTCTGCCATCCGGCGCGTCAGGTTCTGCCGCGTCGCGGACTCGAGCCGGCCAGAGACGTCACAGAGCACCTGGTGGGTGGGGGTGGGGGTGGGGGGTGAAAGGGTTGCTGCCGAGGCGGCGGGGCCGGGTCTGCCGAGGCGGCGGCGGCGGCGATGTGGGTCGTCGCTGAGAGCAGCGAAGGAGTGGCGCAGCGAGGCTCGGCGTAGCACCGAAGGGAAGGTGGCGAAGCCAGAGGGCGCGGCAGCACCGGCAGCAGCGACCAAGGCCGGCCCCGGCGGCGGCCGCGTGGTGGGAAGGTCAGCGAGCACAGCGTGCTGATAGGAGGTCGGCGCGGCGGCCGTGCTTCGCGGGCTACAGCAGCTGGAGCCGTGGTGGCACAGTGCGCAGCGAGAGGGGGCCAAAGACGCTGGGCGTGAGGTTAGGCCGAGAGTCTGCGTCTACTACCTACTCTGCGCCTTGAAGAATCCCGACCACTCGCGCAGGTTTTGAGCTATCATGAAGGCGGTACCCCGCCACGGTGCGCCGGGAGGGTCGCCCATCCTCGCCGCGAGGATCGCCTTCTGCTGCGCCGGCGGCGAGGCCAGGTCGTTGAATGCCCGATTCCACACGCCGTTGCACACGAAGCCGACCGAGAGGATGCCGTGAGGGTGGAACATGAAGAGGTTCCGCTCCGTTTTCACGGCGTCGAGGGCGCCGCGCAGCTCGCAGCGGGAGTAGTAGCGAGTCATGTTGAGCTCGTAGATCAGCCGCATAAACCACGGCCTCCAACGCACCGTGATGCCGAAGTCGAGATAGACGATCAGCCCAATGAGTGCGAGGCCGGCTAGCATGCGCAGGCCACCGCAGAAGAGGAGGTAGACGGCCAGGAACGGCGGGACGATACAGCCGACCCAGAGCGGGATGAAGCAGCAGTGCACGAGCAGCCCGCCGGCAAAAGTGCCGGCGAGCCACCCAGGGACGAGCGTGGACGACGAGGAAGAGCGGGATGGCATTCTCGGCGCGCTCGCTTGAGCCTGCTCGCAGCGTTTCTTTCTTTCTAGACAGGCTTGTCGGTCGTTAACAATTCTTTCTCACACCACACCACTTATGAATCTTCTCAATAACAAGGCCTGCGAATTCCTAGCCGCTAACGAGTTGGAGACGGCAGCCGAGAGATTGCACGCACACGGACATCAGCCTCTGGGCCGGCGCGGGGGCCCCAGAGGGTGTCCATGCGGGGGGGAGATGGGGTCCCATGGCCCGCCGCAGGCGCCGATATTTTCGATATTTTCGCAAGTTTTTACTTGTTTTCATGGGATCGGCGAACTTGCGGCCATGCTATCACGCCTTGCGACAGCCTGTCGGCGCTGCTGACCGTGCCATGATGCACAATTGATAGTTAGAGGCTGCGCAGGCCGTCCCGTTTGCTGTTTGAAACGCCTGTTGCGCTGGCCGCTGCGCGCGCGCGCTGGCCGCTGCCGGGGCTCTGTCTCACTCTCACGTGCCGCAATATGTGTCACACACGGCGGCTTCTGCCACCTCTCGATTGGTTCTACTTTCTACGCACACCTACCGGGGAAGGGGCGCTTGGGAGCCGGGGCGGGGGCGGGGGCGGGGGCGGGGGCGCGCAGCGCGGCGGCGCGGCGCGCGCAACAGAGGGTAGGGTGGGGAAGACGGCGAGGAGGGGGCGGCGGCGGCGGCGGCGGCGGCAGCGCGCGCGCGGCGCGCGCGACGGGGGGGCGGAGCAGCGACCGCTGGCGCGGCCGCTGCTCCGTCTGTGCCAGGGACGCGCGCTCTGCGCCGCTGCAGAGCGCGCGCGTCAGGGCAAGGGGCATGCGTGGCGGCGCGGGACGCGCGGCGGCGGCGGCGAGCAGCCTCCGTGGGCGGTGAGGCGGCCGGGCGAGGGCGCGGCGGGTGACGGGTCAAGGGAGCAGCCCACACCCGGCGTCGCTTTTTGAGCGACGCTGTGGTACGCCTGCGCAGGGGCCGCAGGGCGGTCAGTTGTGGGGCGAGGCGGTGCCGGCCGCGGGCCGGGTGCAAGGCGCCGGCCTCGGCGCCGCCTCGGCGCGCCGCACGGGCCGCGGCGGGTGACGGGTCAAGGGAGCAGCCCACACCCGGCGTCGCTTTTTGAGCGACGCTGTGGTACGCCTGCGCAGGGGCCGCAGGGCGGTCAGTTGTGGGGCGAGGCGGTGCCGGCCGCGGGCCGGGTGCAAGGCGCCGGCCTCGGCGCCGCCTCGGCGCGCCGCACGGGCGCGGCGAGCCTCTGAGCGGGAGCCGAAGGTTTGGTGTGGTAGGTGGGAGGTGGAGGTAGGTGGGGTGATCTGACTTTGCCGCAGAGGCCGTCCCAAGCTGTGAACAGCAAAACGGGACAGTATATGGCCTTTGTCGCGTTGCTACCCGCCTTCGTGCCCGCCTTCGATCCCGCCTTCGTGCCCGCCTTCGTGCCACACGCCGCTCCCTTCGCCGGACTTTTGCCTGCGTCCGCGCGTGCGTCCGCCGTCGTGGCCAAGGCCGCCAAGCGCAAGGCCGCCGCCGGGAAGCGCAAGCCCGCCAAGCCCGCCGCGTTTGCCTGTGGGAGGGAGGTGGGAGGTGGGAGGTGGTGGGGGTGATTTGACTTTGCCTCAGAGGCCGTCCCTAGCTGTGAACAGCAAAACGGGACAGTATCACCTGCATAGCTCGCGGCCTTAGTATCAAGCATTCAGTGACGACCTGATCCTACGGCCAGTAGGAAGGTGTCCTTCCATCGTGTGCACGCTTCTGGCGCAATGCGCGTCGCCTCGGATTGGCTGCTGGCACTCTCGAGGCTATGCCTACGCAGCCTCGCGCGCATGGGCAGTCACGAGGGACCACGCACCTTCTCAGGACAGCGCCGGTGCCTCTCTCTTGGACCGGCAAACTTGGTGGTCTCGTGTCACCAATGTGGGACCAGTGCGGCATCGCGCCATCGACAGCTCTGAACTGCGCCTCACCACTGACCGGGAAGGCCCCCAAGTGGGCCAGCACAGGTCGCACATTGTGGCAGCAGTCAGCAGTGCATGTCTGATAGCTAGAGCAGCAGCGTCAGGGTCGCAGGGTCGGATCGTGTCAAGCCTCTCGCCCGGCCGGCCGCGTGCAGACGTCGGCCTGTCTGCTGTCTGGAGTGATCTGTCGGCGGTCAGTACGACCGATCAGGTCGGAGTTTTCTGATGGTTGGAGGGTCTATCTGTATGTACTCCTCGAGATCTCTCCAAATCTGCCCTCTAATCAACCGTAATCATTCGGGAAGTCGGTGCTAGCTGAGACTAGCGGAGCCGGAGCCCCGTTTCCGCACTGCTGCGCGGCGCACGGTGCCTCCGGGGGGCCCCGCGCCACCCCAGAGACATCAGCGACGCGCGCGTGAGTTCATGTTACTTTACGACATTACGTACACAAGCTGACCCTGACTGACTGAGCCAAAATCCAGCCCTACCTAGGTGCTCGTAGCGAAAGCGAGGGGGCGGGCGGTCTTCATCTCCCGGGTTCCTCCAGCTCCCCGACGGCTGCTTCTAGGACAGCATTGCCCGACGAGTCATCATGTAGCGCTTCGCCGTCGGCGGCGTTTGCGGACGGGGGCAGCAGCGACTCTCCGAACCGCGAGAAGGCAAAGCGCGTGGCGAAGGCGCTCGGCAGCTCGTAGTCTGCGGCCTTGCCCTCGATCGCGCCCTCAGCAAAGGCGCTCGTCAAGAAGGGCCCGTTGCGCTCGTTATAGAGCGGCCCATTGCTCGGGTACTCATCCCGCTTGCCGTCGCGCGGTCCTGGCGAAGAGAAGGACTGGCCGAAGATGCCATGTGGCAGGCTGCGTGACGTGTAATCGCCGCTCGCGCTAAGGCCGACATCCGCTCGATGAGCCGGGCCGCTCGTCGCGTGAGTGGGGGATCCCAGCACAGTGACGGTCCAGTCGGCACACGAGATCGTGCCCGTCATCATTCGCACCCCGATCGTCACGTCCTCGCACACCTTTCGCCCGCCTTTGCCAATCTTGAAGACCCTGCCGCCGCAGAAGCCCGTGATTATCTTCCACCCCCAGTTGTTTTCGTTCAGCTCCGCCGTCCAGTATGAGACGTTCAGCCACTTTCGCCGGGGCGCTGAGGCGCCTGCGCCCATACCTGCAGCGTCGTCCCCGCCTCCGCGGCCAACCAGAGCGACCAGGTGCACCTCGGTGATGAAGGTGCCGTCGACGATGAGCGTTGTGCCGCCGCCGCTGGCCACGCCGCCCCCGCTTGCCACACCACGTCGCAGCGGGAAAGTGGCATTCTCCATCTTGAGGTTGACGGCGAGGCCCGGCGCAGAGAAAAACGAGTAGTAGACGCCGTGCCGGCCGCGGAAGTCCGCGCGACCGCCGTGCGCAAAGTGAAGGTGCGGGTCCTTTTCGATGAGAGCGGCGGGCAGGTGCGGCGGCGAGGGGGGGGGAGTGGGCGGCGGATAAGGCAGCGGAGATGGTGGTGGCGGGGAGGGCGGCGGCGGGGTCGGCGGAGGCGGGGTCGGAAGTGTCTGCGAGGACTCCAGCGGCTACGGCTGCGGGTGGGTTTGGCAACGGCATCTGAACTGGGCGAGAGCACGCTCAACCCTAAATTACCGATCACGTTGGCTTTAAATGAAATCTCCACTTCTCCCTCCTCGCAGACGAACACGTAGCGCGACCGGGTGAAAACATAACCGACGCACTCCCCCTTTGTGAC